GTACGTTTCTACTTTGTCGTACTTGTTTAACCACGAACGAACAAGTATAATGATTGAAACAAAATATGTTTTATGGAGAACTGTGGCTCCTGTGAGGTTCGAACTTCCAAACTTTTTCTTTAGATAATGTTTGCGTAATAACCGGTAGACCATTGAATAGGGCCTATAATATTTGTATATTGCAGTTTCAAATCAAACTAACGACACTCCTCATCCGACATGCCTTCATATAGCGGGCTAAGGAAAATAAGTCAGAGAGAATTCTACCCGGTAACAGATTTTTTTTTTTTTTTTTTTTTTTGTTCTTTTAAATTTATTTTCCACTATAAGTGGTTGGAGAGTCACTTGATAGTTGATTCAATAAACCTTTTGACAATCCCGTCTACATCCTAAAGTGTCTGTTGTTATCATGTTTGTGTCAAAGACAAAATAAATGAAATGAAACAAACGATGGTCGACTTATAGACCGAATATTGTGGATACCTCTATGCGCTTAACATTATTATCTCCGGCTATAATTGGATCACATGGAACTCCATAATGTCAGTGGCGTATCTAGGGGTGCGTGGGAGGGTGCACGCCCCTCCAAAAATTACTCCCCCCTTCCAGTCGCCCCCAAAAAAATTTCGGTCAAGTAGCTAAAAATCACCTAAAATCACCTTATTAGCGTTCCTCAACCGATCATCGAGCCCCCTCTTCACTTTCGCCCTCGCCCCAACAGCACTCCTACTTCAAGACTTCTAGATACGCCATTGCATAATGTTGCAGCTGTAAAAAGCAAATTTTGTTTTTGACCTACTAAGTACCCATTTCCCATTTGTACTCCTGGGTGGAGTGATAACCGTGGGTAAAGTGCATAACCTAAGGACACAAGCAAAATGCACAGCGAGGATTTGAACCTCCAGCAGCCTCAAGGTTAGAGAAGCAAAAACGCAACACTGCTCAAACCCGCCCTACGGAAACAGCGTTAGGATTCTGGTCATGGGTCGTGTTTCGACACACATGAGTATTGCAATTATTTGAAGCAAAAATTGTAAATCTATATAATGCTGAACTGGTAATCAAAAACCAATCAGTAAAAAAAGAACCTATTGAAAATATACAGTATAGGCTTTCATTCTATCTGCGCATCCATGTGTGACGAAGACATACATTTTGATTTTGTTACCAAAAGAAACTAGGTCAAAATAGCAATCCAATTTATCGATCTCCTCAGGAAATTCATCTCATGGATTAAAGCACATGGCTTAAACGCTTCTCTAAAAATCCCCTGTTTGTTTTAGATGGTATAAACACATATATTTACGTATCATTATACTATGTAGAGAGGCGTCTGATCCTTAAGGATCAGTGTAACACTGTAGGTGAAACTCAGCGTTACTAGAGCATTAAATTGCAATGAGTGTCCCAAGACATGTTTTAGGCCTACTTAATTTATATTTTCTGTGATCCCAGTTTATCGTCGACGTCGTGACGCTGTTGATAATGTACATAATATAGAACCACATCCTGTTGAAATCGTTGAAACTTTATTATCAAAAGTTGGTGGGGCGAGGGGGCCCCTCCCCCCCCCCCCCGTCGGGGAGAAAATGCACAATGTGTCGGAGACAAAAAAATTATATATATATTCTACATAGACCTATTAGTAGACTCTAAAATCGATTAAATATGCCTTTGAAACCCCTAAATTGTCAAAATTTTATGGAGCTTCGCCCCCTGGACCACTTTCGAAACCTTTTAATCGAAGCCCGACCACGCCCACTTTGCTTACGTCCGGGAAATCTGAACCCTTGTCGGGGGAATGCGCGAGAAAACATTAGGCCTATAGGCTAATCAAATTGCTGTACTTCCTAAATATATTGATGGTGTCAAACAAACTGATTAAAATGCAGTTATATGCTCCTTCAACTTGTAAATATTCAGAACCCTCCGTTATCAAAAGATGGTATCAGCCCAGTTGGTCGAAATCCAGTTTGCCGAAACCCGGTTTGCCAGGTTTAGACCACTATGCCGAAACCCAGTTTGCCGAATCCAGTTCACCGAAAAGACGAAACCCTTGTTGACCGAAACCCGGTTTGCCGGACCCAGTTTGCCTAATGTATCCGTCACCGCCGTACAAAAGCGCAGCACAGTACTATTTTGAACTAAATGTAATAACGGCAATTATGTAGGCGAAACCGAATGTAAACTCAGACATAACGACCACAACAAATACCGGTACTTAAAGACCATCAAAAGGGCTTCCTGTTGCTCACGTACCACTTTAATTTACCGAGCCATACTAAGGGGCGGCGGAACCGGTACGAGGTTGAGGGTGATGTCCAGGAAATTGGCTACTTTAGTGTTGCAGGTAATGGTGATTCGGAGTCCCAGGTCGTGGAATGTTTTGGTGATGTCCTTCCTGATGCGGTCGGGTGTAACCCCTGATGCGTTTTCGATGACAGCCAGTCCGTCGTCCCTGTAAAGTCCAAATATATATAATATATATATATAAATATATATATATATATATATATATATTTTTATATATATATAAACATACACCGACTTTGCTTTAATAATGATAGTCAATTTAATTTGTGTTAAATAACAAGTAGGCCTAACTGATATTCAGATTTTGGGAAAAAACATGAATCTTTAATATCTTGATTTTAGGGTCATCAAATAAGCTCTTTGAGTAATTGAAATCTTAAAGAACGCATTGACATGGCCCCATAACTAACATTTTTATTACAAACGAGCCCGATACACTAAACATAGAAATTGAATTTGTTATTAATAAACCTCTAAAGTATTATAAAAAATTGTGATATAATTGAGAACATTAAAATGGATTAGAAGGAACAATTCAGCATCAGAAAATCATTATTATACTATTAGAAGGATGTCAGATATAATGTGTATTTGAAACGTTAAAAATACGATATAAAATATATCACAACACGAATGCAACAATGGGAAGCTTTCAGCTTACAACTTAAGGCCAACTCAGACAGCGTCGGGCGACGCAGCCCGATCCGATTTATCGTCGGGGACATTCTCAAGCCGTCGTGAGAAATATTAAACACGTTTAATATTCTACTACGCGACTGCCCCCGACGCACACCATCGCGTCTGCGTTCAACTCACACAGACCCGACGCGACAACAAATCGCGTCGGGCTGCGTCGGCCGACGCTGTCTGAGTTGGCCTTCACCTTACTGGAAGCGAATGAAAACTTCAAAACATGCGTAAACAGTGACATAGTATCATTGTCTGCAGGATCAGTAGCTTTACGACTGATGAGGCAATTAAACGTTAGAATTAGACAGAAATGCTAACCTTATTTTTTGAAATAACAGAGCTAACTCCGAGCAATAAAGCACTTAACCTAGGCCTAAGTAAAGAAGGCTGTTGGTGATTAAATCCACCATGGTACTATTTAGTCACATTAGTCCAAAAATGTCTGTTTGGCTTAGAAGTAATACAATTAATAATTGGATGCTTATTGCAACATATCAAGTTGGTATATAGAGTTTAACTATCACATATCAACGGTAATTATATAGGACGCACTTTCCGTGTATGCATTGGTGTGTTCACGGGTAAACTCTGGAACACTTAATGTGATATCGAACCCGACCCATATACGCCTACTCCTATCGCATATTGCCTATAGGTTGTAAACCTAATGGCAATGGTGCTATGAAACAAGGATATCGAATCTTCATGCCGATTATGAAATTGAAAAATGTTGCTAATGACTAATGAATAATAATAATAATAATAATAATAATAATATTATTATTATTATTATTGTTATTAATAATAATAATAATAATAATAATAATAATAATAATAATAATAATAATAATAATAATAATAATAATAATAATGTTGTAATTTTGATGATGTTGATAATGTTGTTGATGATAAAGAAGAAGATAATGATGATAATTATACTGAATATAAAAAATGATATTGATGGTAAAAAAAATAATTATGAAAATGAAAATTATGATAATAATAATAATAATACGGTAATTGTTATTATTTTATTAATAATAACAATATTATGCACTACTTACATCTTAGAAATATGTATTATATTTAAATATTATGAATGATAATTATTATAGGAAATAATACTGTAATACATTTTTAGATTGCTGTAAGATCGTTGACTAATCTGTAGATGTACAGTCAGTTTTTTCTCTTTTTTTGTTGTACAGTATTTTGATGTAAGTTGTAATATTAAACAAATAGTTGTCATTGATCTACAGTACCATACAACTCTTCGAGATTCAAATTCAATATTTCAATTTTTGTATATTTAATTAGGTATGAAGTCGGTTCACTGTATCACAAGACGAATCATAATCGTATGCCATATTAGACTATGAATACAATTATTATGATGACGTTAATACTGGTAATTTCCTTTATATGAAAATATCATACAGTCTGCATTGTGTCGGCAACTTTACATCAACTAGATCTGAATTTATTGGAAAAATGATGACACTAATCTGGAAATAAGTACAGTAACACTATTGTGAATTAAAAAATCATCGCAATACATTTAAACATTTAATATACGTAATTCAACTGTGAAAAAGAAATGTGACAATGTAAATAAAACAATGGGGCAAGAATAATTATTACAGGAGTTATTTTCGTAAGACTCTTAACAATAATTTATATTGACGTTATCTGTTTATTTGTTATGCTGTATTGCGAACGCTGCTTTGTGGCATATTGTTTATCTCTCTGCATTTCCTTGTATTATCCATTATTGCTACTTCCACTATTTTAGATATAACAAGTATTGTCATATGCCCCAAAGCAGTAACTATTATAAGTGCCGACACTGTGGATTGAGCTCATTGACTAATACATGATCTACCTTCTTGTCAATGCACGCGTGCGTATGATGAACGTATTACGTAAAATAGAAACCTATAAGTTCTGGAGTCGTGGCTCGTTACCATTAATGCTTCAGTAACTAGTAAGGGCTTCTACATTGCTGAACACAACCTGTATGAAGATACACAACTATTGATAGTTCGGACGGCTTGACGTCATATTCATTCTTACAATAATCCATGGAGGTATTTTATACTCCATGAATAAACAAACAAATTTGGAAAGCTAATTTTTTATTTGTGAAATTCGCTCTCTTTGATAATTTGCAAAAGGACCCCGAGCAGGTGTTGATTGCAGTAAGGTTGTTCAACTTCATTTGACATCTACATCTTTTGATTCGCTTTTTCAACAAAAAGCATGTAAGTAGATAGATAGGTACATTATGTTTGGATAACTGAAACTGTAGGTGCATTAATCTTTTATTACAATATAACAATTACATTTAAAACATAATGAAACAGGTTATAATTTAATACAACTGGTCAGTTTACTATCTTAAATTAATACGCGTTAGCAATTACAAATTGATGTTGTTGTTGATGATGATGATGATGTTGATGAAGATGATGATGATGATGATGATGATGATAATGGTGGTGGTGATGATGACGAAGATGAGGAATATGATGATTAAGATAATGATGATGACAATGTAATGATACTGATGGGGATGATGATGATGATGATGATTATGATGATGATGAAGATGATGATGATGATGATGGCGATGATGATGGAAAGTGATGGTGAGGATGAAGATAATTACAATGGTGATGTCGTTGATGATGTAGTTGTTGATGATGATGATTATGTTTTTGTAGGTTATATTGTTTTAAAATCAAATCCAAGTCTTTAAACAGTTAATATGATATATATTTGATTATGTACATTTAAGTTTTTCTCTGTGCCTGGAGGAAAAGAATTTAAGTTATTGTCAGCCAAAACGAATTCATTATTGCTATGGCTGAGGAGATTGAAATTTGCTATCGAGGACTCCAGATCTATTGTACAAAATAACCTCATAGTCATCGAGGGCCTACCGTCTTTTTACCAACATTCCCTCCTTAATTCACCATAGAGGCCAGTCGTCTCCATACAAACACTTTCTCCTCAATTCACCATTCAATGAACAAGATCTTAAAATTTTCCTTTGAATGCATTTTACATGAACCATATATTTCTTCAAACGTTACTGAATAACTTAAGAAAGCAAAAACAGCAACAACATTCACCTTAGTTTATCATAAGACATATTTTTGTGACAAATTCTAAAGCATTTCTGGTAACAACAAAAAAAAAACAACATTTTAATCTCTTCGACCACTTCATTTAGACTTTAGATGCGTACTTAGTTCTAATTATTAGTCCACTGCTATCACAGTTGTTCTGAACATTTAAACTCAAATCCGATTCTTGATGGCGTCCTTGTCGTGACCTTTGGCAAATTATACACATTATACTTTACAATTATTAAGTGTCAGCTGCCTGTCGACCACCATATGGACAAAAAGTGGTTAAGGAAAAAAATCAGAAAGTGGATTTTTTTGTATCTGCTTGGATTGATTCGTATTGAACATGTGGGTGGATACAATTAGAAGAACTTAAAATCTTCTCAAGGACCTCTGTTTTCTTAACGACATGATACGTTCTGCTATCTAACCTGACCTACCTATCTCAAATGCATATTAACTATACTTACTAATGTCTTTGCTTTCTTAAAGCAAGTGGACATATGAAATGTAAACTAAAGTTTTATTAAACATTTCACTTATGTATTATAATAAGCCATTATAGATTACCTGACGTGTGTATTGGCCTTACGTCAAATATATTATTTTAATGAATTCTATTTAATCGCCTACCTAAAACACATGGTGCTTAATTATCGAAACAATTATTAATATCAAAGTTCACGTATGAATACATAGCTAAAAATAACTACTTGGGACATTTTTATTTCGCGCAAACCGTTGTAACCAGCGGGTAAAACATATCCGCTCATTATTAGGCGCCTGTGCCTACAATCTAAGTGAATATTGATTATATCGTTATAAATGTAGAGGCAGTAATTGAAGGGATAAGTCGTATCAGTAGACATTCTGATCAATAGGAAGCTTTGCATAATACAAAACATATTTTCTGTGACCCTACCTTCACCCAGATAGAGTACGCAATAGATGATGATTTTTGTATTATTCTGAGATCATCGTTTTATCTTTTTTAATGTGTACATACCTAGACTGCCAACACCCTTCCTCTAAAGCGTTGATTGTCTTGTAAATTTGTAAAAATAGTGAAAATAATGGATAATCTCTAAATCTTACGTGGCATGTAATTTCTAATATTTACAGTTAGTATAAACTTCACATTATTTTAATATGTTCTCGGAAGAGCTTGTTTGTGTTAAAATTCAGGAAAGCCTTTTTTGGCACTCAATGTGTCAAGATTGCACACGCGCTGTCATAAGTCAGCCAATATGAATCCCTCTGTTGAATTCATATTATTAAAACGACAAATTACTGGATGTCCACACGTTGCCTAGTAATATATAAAATTAGACGTTAGCAATGTCAAAAACGAGTACGACTGAAAATGTTCTACGTGAGTTAAGTATCGCTCCAGTTGTAACCATATACAGTAATGAATTCCTTGATACAAAATAACGATCCCATTAGACCTACGTGTTTTTGCAAAGAAACAGTAAATTCCATTTTAGAATGATTCCATAAAAGGCATCTGTTTAATCTGGGAGTTTTTAATAAACAATTGTCTGGTTTTTATTTTACTGAGCAACTTATTCGCGCTTACGCCTCCTTTTAGATATTGCAAACTCTCTTTTATACAGTTTACCGAACATTCTCATAATCGCTTAACATACATGTCCAAAACACCACAGCACGACTAGTCGTCAGAGAAAATGAAATGAATCATGAAAATGGAATAATTCTTTTAGGTAAACCAGGGATGTAATTCTTGGTTTATTTAAGATAATTATTCCATTTTTTTCATGCACAAAAAAATCAGATGAATTTTTTTGAATACGTTTAAATGGAATCGTCTCATTCCAATTTTCCGATTATGGGAGTGGCTTACCGATAATTTATAATTAAATAAATTTGAGTTAAGGATTATTTAAGCCTTGAAGTGCACTGTTGTGTTGATGCGCCATGAGCATCTTTTCAGATGGATACCGGCGCAAAACAGATTTTCATCATCATCGTCATCATCATCGTCACCATCGTCATCATCGTCATCATCATCATCATCATCATCATCGTCGTCATCATCATCATCATCATCATCATCATCGTCATCATCGTCATCATCGTCATTATCGTCATCATCGTCGTCATCATCGTCATCATCGTCATCATCATCATCATCATCGTCATCATCGTCATCATCGTCATCTTCATCATCATCATCATCATCATCATCATCATTATCATTATCATTATTATTATCATTATTATTATTATTATTAATATTATTATTATTATTATTATTATTACCGAGAGACTTGTCTTTAAATGTATCCCACTTTCATACATTTATTTCTACGATTTGTCTAATGCTCTGTCCAGCTTATCAAATTTTATTTCACAAATACTGGGGTATGCCCATGTATAGTCATGATATGCCTATATATGGCGTGATGTCATCATGACCATATTTAGTCTTGTCACAAGTTTGTTAAATAAAAAATAAATGATAGTCTGGCCAGAGCTTAACGCCATTCTCTTGGTCGTGATAATCACTCAGATCTGCTAACAAATTGCGCTTAAGAGGTCCTTTGAGAATCATGCGTTTTCTGTATCCACTCCCAATTATGGAACGGATTACCAGCTGACTTTAAAAGGTTACTTACAGAGTCTGAGATCCTTCAAGTCTGGACTTAGGCCTAAAACATATTTTTTCATTCATAAATTTCTAAAATAGGACTTGAGGTCAACTCAGTGTGTGCGTTTCCTTGCAATCATGTTAATTTCCATTGAAACTCTGACATCCTGATGGATTATGCATTCACCCATTTATGTAAGAACTAAGTAAAAAAAAATCTTATTTTATTTCTATCCCCAATGATTGGCTGTGACACAATAGCTTAGAGGATGTTCAGTGATATGCTCCATGACGGTTAAGACGCTGGTATGAGAAAGTTGCACCACACTAAATTAGCATTGTCATATGGGAGAGAGTATATTTTAGTTTGCTTATAGACACACCCATAATTCGACTTGACTCTCCAGTCATAATAACACGTTTTCGCCAATTCTGGCAGTGCTTCTTGATTGACGATAACATACATCTTTGTCGTGTCCCCTGTAAAGTACATAGGGCTAATGTGGGCTTCATGGTATTCCAGAGTATTTTCCAGAGGGAAGGTCGTGGTTTATGCTGTTGAAACTTTTTGAAAGCTATGTATTTCATTATGAGTGGCTTCATTTATTCTGACATTTGTTAAATTATTTTTCAAAGAGTGAAGATCTGTTTCGTGTAAGAGCACTCTTTGTTCTTCCAGAAGCGTTGTTCAATTTCTTCTTGCTTTCTCATCGGTTTCTGCAGAAACGTTTCCAGAGATTGACTAGAGTAGCGCTTTTCCGCTCCACAGTGCGTCAGTTCTGTTGATATAGATACTATACTAGTAGTGTATTAAGAATGTAAATTGTATTATTCATAAGAGATTAGTCTCTTTGAGTCAACAATTGTTATCTTATAAGTTACTAGTTTTGTGTGGTCAGACCAAAGAGTGCTGGAGGGGTTGGGGGTAGGGTTGCTGGTTGATTATAACTTCTCTGTAATGTGTTCAATACAGTTGGCCTCCTGCACTTTTTCTGTGAATATAGTTGTGCCCGTTTTCCACTGATTGGTAAATTTGGGGGTGTTAACATTTTTTTTATTAACACTGCGCGTCTTCCGGCCACCCTTGCATGCCCATTGTCAAACAATTCTTTCATCTTTCTTTTGGAACGGTTTATTCATTAATTTATTTTGAGTTTATACGTTAAAAATTTTGTACAGCGGACTTGGGTCATTCTGAGCACCTTCTGTCTCACTTGCTTTCAACTCATCACTTTTGTCACCTTTGCAGCTCATTTTCACAACTCAAGTGTCCGTCTTGGTGTTCAACTTTATTCATCACACGTGCGACATTTCCATAGTGTCAATCCACTTAAAAGCTTATTAATCAGAACAGAGACTGGTATACGCGCGTGTTCAACAAACACACGGGGCGAAACTTAGCGGAAAGAGTTACATTAGAAAGAGTAAGATTAAATACACTTAGTTAAACTTTCCCAGAAATCACTTAAAAAGTCAGATAGCCGAACGAATTTCTTTTTCGGTTAATTGTACATCCTGG